TCATTTTTCCCCTTGTCCCTGCCCTCCCTTCACTCCCTCCTCCCCTCCCCCTTTACAAACACTTTATTTCCATTTTTTCAGTTTCGCATATTTTTTTCCTCTCCCTTATTACCTTTCCCCCACCCTTCCCAATTTCCCTACACCTTTAGCCCTTTACATCCTATTTCACGTTATTAATTATCTCATTAGGATCCTGTGTACTGTTATAGTTTTTCACACCAAAGAAACTATTCGGTATTTCAGTTAAAGAAATCTCTGTATGAACATTAAAAATAGGGAATCCTAAAATACAACTAAAAAGGAAAGTAAAAGAGAAAAGGCAATGATGTAACATCAAAGTAATCCTTAATCCTGGAGATGAAAATGGTCCCTGAACATATTTAAATTGCTTCTTGCTCTTATAGTCTTATCTTATTCTTTCCTTCATTATTTAGAGAATACTTTATTAGTTTCTGTAATCAAACCCACATAGATATGACCTTACATATTTAGTACGATGAGTTACTCCTGTACACATGGAAAAAAATAAAAAATAAAAATAAAAATAAATTAACATTTCTAGACCAATATGGTTGTCCATTTCTGTACAATGCCAACTCAACACAATAAATTGGCATGACTTTTTCCAAAGTGGGCAGCACCGTTAAAGTTTCCCAAAATTCAATTTATATATATATATGTGTGTGTGTGTGTGTGTGTGTGTATATATATATATAAAGAGAGAGAGAGAACAGCTTTTCCAGGTTCTGCAGTCATCTGAACAAAATTATAGACATTCAGCACATTCCATTAAAAAACAAACAAACAAAAAAGAAACAAAGAAAAGAATAATATCCATAAAGCTGCAAAGTTCTGTTGCTGTTGTGGTACCTGGCACCATTTTTTTCTTAGAGTAGTTTCTTGAGCCCGATCTCACTTAGTGGCACTGACGTGAAGTGACGTGGAGATGGGGCTGGTACTAAAGGACATCCAGCCCGTCAGGGGCCCATTCTGAGGAAAGCACTTTGGCCTAATCAGACTGAGAAGTGTGTAAGAACAAGGGCAGCTAATAGTCACCGAATGGTAACTCTATTCCAGACACTTTGTTTGATATACAGGCTCTGTTATTTGAACTTTGTAATTAACCCATGAAGATTCTTCCTATATTAGGCATGGGAAATGGGAAACAGAGAATTTGAGGAACTTGTCCAAGATCACAAGCCAAGTAATAGTTCAGGTTCAGATAAAGCCAGTCAATATAATAGTAGTCACACTGTCAACCAGAGCCTTCTCCTGTGCTTCTAGGAGGTCAGGATGGTCTACAAAGGAAGATAAACCAGGAGAACATGCTAAACGAACTGCACTGGGAAGGACTCCTGGGCATGAGGAATAAGAAAAGTATAAGTTCTCCTCTTTGCTGACCTCTATCCGTACTTTAATTTTATATCTTTAGTGGACCTAATATAGCATAATAAAAATTATCATCATTTTAAATGAGCAAAAGGGGATTCAGTAAAATTAATCTGGCAAATAGAAAAACAAAAGGCAAACTAAATTTCACTTTACAAATTTTCATGGATTAATTTTATTAAACACCTTTACCATAAAACATATCACCTTACACTCACCAAGTACAAATTCCCGTATCTTATTCTGAGAACTCATATTGGAAAAGAGTAAATAACAGCAAATCCCTTAAGGAAAGGAATAGTGAGAGCACAAAAGTTGATTAGCTTTGTATGTTATGTTGAGATCATTGTGCTCATGGAATTTTAATAGAACTAGAATTATTTTGAGATGCCATACAATAATAAATAGCTATTAAAATTAAACAGGTACCTTTAAAATGTTTTCTATAACTAGAGTTTTATTTTAATTCATCATAAAAATAAGATGTGAATTATATAATTTTAAGCAATTCAAAAACTAACACTCTCCCTGAAGGAGAGTTAATATATGAGTTAATATATTGTTAAACCTCTGACTCATAAGTTTACTTTAGATACTGATGCAGTTAGATATACATTAATATACAAATACACTAGGGTATCATAAAATGTGTCCTTAATTGTGATCAGTATCACACACACACACACACACACACACACACACACATATCTAACATATATGGGTTATTTTTTCAAAATGTTAATTGTAATTCTAACTTACCATTTTTTACAACTGCATTGCGTAGGTATACCATAAAATTATTTAATTTTCCAAGTTCTTATTGATGGACATTTACATTTTTTTTCAAGATTTTTCTGATAGAAACAATGTTTACTTAAACATCCTTACTGGTCTTTGGGAAGTTGTCATTTTTGTCAGAAGATTTCTGGGGAAACATGTCAGTTGGGCTTTATTCAGAGAATTCCCTGCGACATTACAGACACTACCGCCTCCTGGATTGAGCTTGCACCAAAGACCTTCGGGGACTCTGACTTCTTGGTGAGGAAGCTGAATTCTGTGAATCTTTTGGCATTGTAGTTTAAAATGAAAATGGAGATCTTGAGTGAGGTCTATGTTCTCAGAAGAAAGTGCAGTATTTACACAGAGTACAAACAGAGGGATGGCATCCCACAATCCCCGTAGCTTTTATCTACTTTTCATGCTGCTCGTACCTGCCAACTGTCATCCCTCTCTTCCTACCCACCTTAGTTTCTCCTGCTATGATTCTAGCAATCCAGGGCCTCGAATCCCTGATAAACTAGGTGCCCCAAATCCCTGATCACACACTGAGGTCAATATATGTGCCAGGGAAATGGCAAAGCAACTTTGGCTGATCGTTCACATCGTATACCTGGCCATTAGTCAAGTTTAAAATAAGGTAATAAATACATGGTTCAGCTTTCCCATAGAAAGCCTACATTTAGCAGGTCCTGTTAAACTCTGGTTTGTAAAGCATCAATTGTTATATTTTACTTTGTTTTGTATTCAGCTGAAGAAAAGTACCCTATACTGGGAATAGTTTTGGTTCAAACAAGTTGAGCATGAACCCAGTTCCACCACTTGGTATCTTGGTGCCCTTGGGCACTGTATAAACCTTTGTTTCTCTGCAACAAGTACATTTTAAATAGCAATATTTGATTTATACTATTTGGTACATATTTGCTGAGCAGGGCAAAGATACAAGCACAAAACCCATGAATTGTTGCCTATTATTTGATGACAGTGTCATTTAAGACCACAACTTTGTGCAGTAGCTGGTATTATCCTCGGTAAGAAGCAGGGCTCAGAACAGTTAAACAACTGGTCCAAGTGCTTTAGAGAAACTGTGTGGAGTCAGAATTCAAATCCAGACCATAAAAGATGAATTATTTCCTCATGTTCTATGCACAGTTGAAAAATCTGTTATCAATAAGCAAAATAATTTTTACATTAGACATCTGTACCACAGAAAACAGTCCCAGTTATTTAACTGGGTGTGACTCCAAAGGGCTACTATGACTTTTCTTCTGAATTCCCGCATTCTGACAGCTCCTTTTGCATTTCGTCCTCCTTGTCTGTCCAGGTTCCTTTTACAAGTGAGTTGTCACATTTTTTTTGAAATTATGAACTACAACAAAATCCATTGGTATCATACTAATCTGTCATTCTAAAGAGTTCCTTTAAAAAAAAAAAAGGACTTTCACAGACACAATAGAGGGCCTTTGGCTGTTAAAGATATTTTTAAAATTTCCATTTTTCACTCTAATCTGTCATACTCATTTATACATGATAACAGCCAACTGAAGCTCATTTATCTGAAGTGTCCTCATGCTTGCTTCTAAGGAACTTGCTACATTACAGGCTGAATTTAATCTGTATGTGTGTGCATGAAGAAAACACTTAACTTTGCTATTCCCATAGAAGAAGCACTAAATAATTCGTCACTAAAAAGGGGAGAGCTCTACTTCAGCTGAAAAACACAGTCGTTTGTCATGTTATTTCTCCAGTTTTCATTAGTTCTGAGAAATATGGGCTGCTTGATATTATCTTGGGGAAACTGCTGCTCAAGAACACTCGATAACTTCCGCATATTGATACTAGGAGATTAGTCTATTATGTCCCCTATTTTCCTTACAAGTCACCTTGTTGAAATTTCTTGTAAATGAAGCACAAGCAGTTTGTGTGAAGAATGGCACCGGGGGAGTGGGGTGGGGACCCAGCCCTCTTCTAGAACCGCGGGAAGCCACGTGGGCTGCAGCAGAGTCCTGACACCATGGGGACAGGAAGGCTCAGCTTAGTTCTCTCCAAGTAACATAACAAAGGAATAAAGTTTGGGATCAAAGGATATTGAAGTCATCGCGCGTATTGGAGAAAAACATTTTTTAAATTTCTTGGAGGAAATCTTGTTACAAATTTTTTCTTTAACTGGAGGAAGTAAGATTGAGAGGTAAAAAAAGAAGAAATAACAATATAGTAGTACCCTACAGCTCAGCAGGGAAAAGGGTCAGTTGTGCGTTTCCTGACTCAGGAGATTTTTGGTTTAGGGCTAAGGAGGTACAACATAATACCCAGAAGGAGAAAAACTTTAAATTATACTCAAACACATTATATGAAGTGAAACAGTACCATTAACAGCAAGTGTACTTTTTTCTTCTAGTCTATTGGGCAAAAACTCAATTTGGAGTCAAATTAGTTACATCTCATCTAATGCAGTGGAATGAGAATGGACAGTGGTTTTGAGTTGTGAAGTGTTTTGTTGCTTTTGTTTTATTTTGTTTAGAGACAGGGTTTTGCCTTGTAATTCAGGCTGGCCTTGAACTCACTATGTGGAGGAGTCTGGCCTGAAACTTGCTGTGATCATTCTGCCTCAGCCTCCCAATGGCTGGGATTACAGGTGTACACCACCGTGCCCAGTGATTTCTGAGTTTTTAAACTCAGTAGTTCTAGCAAGGATTTTTTCTGCATGTGCGATTTGGGAGTAGTTCGTGTTCATTTGAGTCCTCCATGTACCTGTTAATTCCTGGATAACAATGCACTTTGTCATAATAAATCTAGAAGCTTTTCTTCACTCATCCTTTCCACTTTTCTTTAAGGTCCAGTTGAAAAGTGAAGAATCCAAAACTTTTGCAATGAAGATTCTCAAGAAACGTCATATTGTGGATACAAGACAGCAGGAGCACATTCGCTCTGAGAAGCAGATCATGCAGGGAGCTCATTCCGACTTCATAGTGAGGTAAAGGCCTTCCCTGCCCTATGCCCTCTAAGTGACAAGTTGACCACAACACTCACTGCCACTCCTGTCCACACTGAACACATTTCATTTGAACAGAGAGTGTTAACAAGGTTCTGTTGATTAAAAAAAGATTTTGAGTCTATCCTTTTTGATTTTTAAGAGTCTGAAAAAATGTTCTTTTTCCAAAGGAGGAATCTATTTCTAACATTCTGTTTTTAACCTGTTACCTAAAATATTGCATAGACAGCTGGTACTTGAAAAACAAAATATTTAATATTTTGAAAAAATTAAAAAAAAATAAAATGACAGCTAATCCTTTCACCTCAGTATTTTGAGAGCACTAATAAGAGGATAATAGGGAGCTTTTTATGTGCCGAAGTAGCTTGTGTACTGAATTTGCCAGTAGTACTTACAGAAAATAAGATAGAAACACAAGCAAGTAGAGCATGAAATTCATATATGTCTACATGTAACAACTTCTAATCTACTTTATATCCATGTGCATAGAATGTTTATTACTATTAAATGTTGCTTAAGGGTCCATGCTTGAAATACCAGCCAAATTGGAATCCAGAAAACTCAAAAGCCCTTTTATCCATCATCTTTTGAATTAATCCATTTCAAGGGAGATAGTGACCTTCTGTGGTGTAGAAGCCTTATTCATGAACCACTGGCTCTTTTTCCCTATTTGTACAATTATGACTCTTTATTCTTCTCCCCGGATTTTGTGTGGCCATAGTGGTGCACAGCTATAATCCTAGTAGTCAGGAATCTGATGCAGAAGAATTGCAGTGAGTTCAAGGCCAACCTGAACTACATAGAAAGAGTCTGTCTCAAAACAAACAAACAAACCAAAAAAAAAAAGAAGAGAAAACATTTATAGTATGGCATATGAAAAGACTGTAATCTGGGCATTGCAACATTTATATGATTTGTGATAATATTCAAAATTCCCCCTTTTAACTACTTTGAATAATTTACTAAACTGTTGTTAACTATAGTTGACTTTATTATATAATAGAGTACCAGAATTTATTCCTCCCTAACTGTAACTTTGTGCCATAAATATATGAGGTGGTATATATGCTAAACACCAGATTTGAATATTAAATAGTTTATATATATATTGAAACATTATACTGTACCCCATAAGTATGTAAAATTATGTGTCAATGAAAAGCAAAGGAAATCATTTCTTAAAGCTTAAAAAATGACATGCTTTTAAAACACAACAGTTTTCATAACCTTTGTTTTCTTGTTTGCAATCCACAGACTATACAGAACATTTAAGGACAGCAAATATTTGTATATGTTGATGGAAGCTTGTCTTGGTGGAGAACTCTGGACCATTCTCAGGGATAGGTAGGAGATTTGAGAAATTTCTACTCTGTCTCTAAAAACATAGTTGTCACTGACAATCTAGAAGAAGAGTCCATTATTGTAAAGTATAGATACTTTTATTTATTTTACAAATGCTTATTTTTAAAAATGAAATATAACCATAAGGTCTAGCCCATTATATAAATAAAATTTCTTATAATACTTATAAAACTGACATTGTAACTAATGATATAGCCTTAGTTTACCATAAAAATGGTACCTGGAATATTATATATGTGTGTATATATATATATATATAGATAGATAGATAGATAGATCATAATTCATGAATATAAATAAATTCTGAGTTTGTCTTGGAATTCAGTGGTGTGATTTAATTTTAAGAGAGTGAAAGCTATAGTACAATTATAAACTAGGTTATCAGTTTATTTGATTCACCCTGTTTTCAGTTGGGCAGTCTGCCTTTCATAACATTAGGAATGTTTTTCAAAGTAACATGCCCCTGCTACGTTTCATTTGTCTTTGTTTTCAAAATTAGCACAGCTTTTCATACAGCTCTTTGATTCTTTTCTACTTTGAGAGGAAAATCCATTTACTTGCAGTATTTCTTATATACAATCTGATTTAGATTTACCATTTCAGGGCAAATAAATTTTGTCTAGAGAGTGCTTATCTTTCCTAGTTATACAGAATTATTGTGTCTTAATTCTTTGTCATATTTATATAACAAATAAGTTGTCTTCTGAAAAAAATTACCCTATAAAATGTCTCAGATTATTACCTACACCAACTGTTCACTTTTTTAAAACAAAAGACCATAATTTTATTTACCTATAAATAATATTTTGATCATTTCTTGTACAGTAATGATAATATGCTATAGTACAGTATAGATGTTACCCTCTCTCACAATGCAAACATGAGGCCTTCCCTTGTGTGATTTTGTGTCTGCAATTTAAAAAATCTAACACTACTGTAATAGAATATAAGTTGAAAAGAAGTCCATTTGATATAGTAAAATCGTGGGAGTAGAAGAGCTGAAAGAGCAATCATACAGTGATATTAAGGTACCATAAGAACACCGGGAATGAGAATTTAAATCAGAGGTTTATAAAGAGCAACTTGTTCTATTCTGAGATATCTACAAAGTAACAAATGTCGAAACATTACATGGGTCTGTGAGAGAGCATTAGGGCTATCTTCAGCTAGGTTTGAGAAAGATCTGAGCAGTGAAAGACAGTCTGAGTGACAAGTCTAGAACAAATAAGAAAAATATAGTCTGAAGGTGAATGTTCAAAAGAGCGGGATGACTCCTGAATAATCATTCTTTATGTATCTTTACATTATTGTTAGTTAATAGAGTATAGATTATATGCCAGGCATTGAGAAAGAGGAGTTTACATGGTAGAGTAGATGTGGTCTCCTTCCTCAGAATGTCTACGCCATTTCACTGTTAATATTGTGGCTTGTTAATTAATATCTGTAATATCCTACTGTGGTTTTATTGTATTATTTTTGGCCTGACATTTAAAAATACTGATTTACTTGAAATCTGTTCCTTATTTTTTTAAATTGAGTTTATTGGTACATTTTAGGTATACAGTAGAGTTACATTAATTATTGAGACCTTGTACCTTTCCATGACAGGTCTTGGTTCTCATTTTTTCCCCTTGTCCCTGCCCTCCCTTCACCCCCTCCTCCCCTCCCTGTTTGCAAACTCTGTTCCTTATTTTTAAAATTAGACTACCGGAAAATTTGCAACTGGAATTAACTAGGAAATCAGTAATAAGCTTCACAGAGAAGAGACCAGCTATTCGCCCATAGCTTTTTACAGCTAATATTTAGTTCCTCAGCTAGACCAATAATAGCAGTGATAAAACTCAACTTCCAATCAACTCATGTGTCATGAACCATGCACAGACATCAACTTTCAATTAATTTTTAAAAGTAAATATTATTTTACATTTTTCTCTATTTGACTTGATTTTATATTTTGTTTGGTTATAAATGGAAGTGGAGGCTTCTGTGTGAGATGCACATTGATTTGTAGGGGTAACAAAGGCTTGTTTTACCAACAAGCAGCAGCTTCCCTTGGGAGGAGTGGGTAAAACAATGAACAACAGGAATTCCTTTCTCTACCCTACAGGCTGATTTTTGATCCTTCCTTTTACCTCTTCTTATTCATCCTTAACTCTGAGGTATAAAGCTGCTGAGTCTCTCCCAGTACACTCAGTACTCCAGGATGAGGCTTAATGTTGAGAAGCACTAGCAACCTGGTTCTTACAAAAGATTCAGAAATACTGAAGCCTCAACATTAAAAGCAACGGAGTCTGTCTGTCTATACACACACACACACACACACACACACACATATGCATGTATAAAGCATACTTTTATAATATAAGGTTATATATATATATATATATAAAACTTCCCTTGTAATCATTTACCCCTGTGAAATTTATTTCATATGCACACACACTTTCACATACGTCTTTACTACTTTTATTGTACATAGCTTTTCTTTTACCTAATCAAGAAATTTCTAGGAAAATAGCATAATTTTGAACTTACAGACTCCAATTAATTTGTGCTACTGACCAACTTTCTAACTGTTTAAATCAGGACTAAAAGCCTTAAAGATTGTTAGAGAGAAAAATCATGCCAAGCAAAAAAGTATTTATTAATCATGATTTGTATAAAAACATCTACAGTAAAAACATGAAGACCATCATGTTCAATTCATTTACTTTCATTGTTTTGTCCAAGACAGTGATAAAAGGGAAGATATCCTGAAAGCATACAAGAAATATATTTGAACTGATATTGTGTGACATTATTTGTTATAGACTTGGAAATAGCTCTGAGCCTCAGAGATTTAGGATAGCTGAAGAGACATCCTCCTTCTCACACTTCTTAGTAAAGATGGGCATTTCCCACCTCTCCTCTTATCAGTAGAGAGAAGGAACACTGGAAAGCTCTTTATTTGCTGTCAAAAAATGGGAATTAATGACACTTTTTGCAAACAGAATTTAAGGACTTTTAAGTATTATTTATATTAAGACATGAACTATAGCACTAAAATGTTAACTGTCCCTTTTATTTCCCTGGTGTATTTTCAATTGCCTGTCATGTTTTAATCTTCTAGCTTGTGACTTTTTGTCTTCCACTTTTGTTATTGGTGATGGGTTGGTATAAAGTCTATTTTATTCATCTTCCATCTCTAACATTTAAAGAATGGGTAAGCCCTAAAGATTTCTAAAAGACATAATTGGTTACTGTGACAAATGTATTTAGTATGTAATTCATATTTATATTAACATACATTATAAAGTAAAAACATCATTATATACATGTGTCATACATCAATATTAATATTTAATACCTCAATTATTTCCTTAGTTATTTAAATATATACTGTCTTCTGGTTGGTAGGTTCTTCTCTCAACCCAGAGAGAGTTACAAGGTAGAGATTCAAAAGAGGACTGAGAACAAGTATTTTATTGTAGAAGGAAAGCAGAAAGCAGCTTTATTGTAAGGCAAAAGCAAGCAGCCCCCAGGCAAATGAACCTGGGAGGGGACTCAGATGGATTGCCAAAGAGACTCTTTGTCCAGGGGTTTTATACACAAAAATGACTGTGTCTTGGCCAAGTTGATATCAAGCTATGGGGTTACAAGAAGGAAAGTTTGACATAGAAGTAGGACTATAGGAACTTGGGGCACGTATGAAGCATACTTTTATAAGCACCATCAATTGTAACTTTAACCGGGACAAAGGCATGCCTTAGAGAGGTATGAATATCTCGTTCCTGAGCAAGAAATCCCACCAAAATAATGAGACCTTTTTGTTTGTTGGGTCTCCCAGGGCCCTGGCCTTGGCCATCATGACCTTCATTGAATCTTTAGACTCCTTCTTTGGGATGGTCCTTTCCCCCCACCCCGCTGGCCATCTGTCTGGTCTGTAACACTCTTTGGGCCAGTGTCCCTCTAAGAAATCCCCTCATCTTCCGTCAGGGTCCTGCTCATCCTTAACATCATGTGTTGCACAAACTGATTGTTTAGATTATTGTTGAATGATTCTTACTAGGTTAGGGAAAATGATACCAAAATCTTAGAACACAGAACCTAAGCCCAACCAGAAGGGCTCGTGGTTCATTCTTCTCTAGTCTTTTGCTGTCTCCCTGTTTCAGTGTGCATCAATTTTTTTCTACTGAATAGTTTAAAGAATTACCACAGAAACCATAACTTTCAAGTCTCACCTATCTCACTTTCTGGTCATTTGTCATCCTGGCTATATTTTATAATCTCCTGAGTAATGAGTAATTAATTTTCTATGTGATTTTTATTGCTTCTAGTTATTTTGTGGAGGGTGATTATGTGAATTCCATTTTAGATAAGCTTATGTGACTTAGATGGCACAGAATGAAGGTATTTCTAAAGAAATAAATTTATCTTCATAGTAATTTAACCTCCCTAACAATTGTCACTAAACTTGCACAGACGCTAGCAACATACTTTAGATTGATTGTTACTACAGTGAAGTTGCCTAGTCTCCTTTGATAAGAGATATTTTATTGCAATTATAGTCTGACATTTCAAGACTCAATTTATGACAAGTTAAACAATGTAACAAAATTTGATTTAAATATATTTGAATATATATATATATATTTCTAATTCTTTCAAATTGTTATCTATTGCCATTTAGCTACAACAACCACCCATTCCCAAAGAAGGTATAAGAGTCTATACTTTGTTTCATTTGAAGTAATACAGTTGTCAAGGTAAAATTTATTATTTCAGAGAGCTATATAGCACAAGTGATTTATTTTTTAAACAACTCTTGAAATTGTTGATAAAACAAGCTTTCACTTTTGCTTTAAATCAAATTGACATTTTCATTTCCAATACTAATAGTAATTTTTCATTTTGGGTTACCCTAATGCTATGGTTTGTGACTGATTTCAAGATGTGTATTTCAAAATTCACAAATTGCTTACATCCGATGCTAAGTTATGAAATATTTTGTGTGCATATATTTTATTGATTTTTCAATAAAGCATAAGGAAACTGACCTCCCTATCCTAAAATGGCTCAGGACCAGAGAAGCCTTGAAACAAATAGACATGGATCTCAAGAACCAAAGATCAAAGACAATCTGTGGTCAGTTCACTTCATGGTGAAATGGGACGGTTTTGTTTGGCAATTTTGCCTGTTAATTTGTGAGAAGGGGAAAGAAAAAAAAAAGCATTCAGCAGTAAATTCTTCAGAGCAGATTTGAGCAGTTATATTTGACAGTGAGAAGCACTTCATTAACATTGATAATTTGTGTTGTAAACTCCGTACCTCCTCAAAAGCCTTTAGACTTCTCCTCTATTATATTAGTTAATATTCTTAGATTAAGGTGCAATGACCAAAGAGCAGTTTTTGATGCTTAATTCTAATGGCCAATATTTTAAGTACTAGTTGTGTGCTAGGCACTTATCCTAAGTACCTTCAAGAATTCTTTAAGAGGGCCAGGGATTTAGCTCAGTGGTTTGGTGGCTTGCCTAGCAAGCTCAAGGACCTGAGTTCAATCCCCGGTACAAAAAAAGGAAGAATTCTTTGAATCCATACAACTCAATGAGATAGAAACTATTACTACCACCATTGCACAAGAGAATCCTGCACTCAGGGTGTGATGGTTAATTACACAAAATCAAACAGTCAGAGAAGCCTGGACCTGAGCCCAACATTTTTATTGCAACATCTACATTCCTAACCTAGAATCTCTTCTTTATTTTGTTTTTTTTAATTGAGTTTATTAGTACTTTTTAAGTATACAGTACAGTTACATTCATCATTGGGATCCTGTACCTTTACATGTCAGATCTTGGTAGAATCTCTTCTTTAGATCCTGCTAATGACTAGGTTGTTCAGAATATAAATATACTTTCCAGAAGATATTTCATGAGAAACTTATCTCTCACATATATATTTGCCCTCATCTCAACATTCAGTGGCTTTGCCATTGGGATTCATTGGGAGGCAGAGATCTTGTCCAGTCTCAATTGCAGAAATCATCTCTTTGAACAGTAGTCACAAATCTGTATCCTTTCCAAAAGAAGCACCCAAGTCACAGACATGTGAAATTAAATAAAACTATTCCAGGGACTATTTTGTTTTGCCTTGTGGCACTTTCCACTGAGGAAGGATCAAAGTCATATACAACACTTAGTGTGGTTAAAGCTGCTATGTTACTTATACATACATAGGTGATTAATATTTCAGGCAAATAATTTCTCTTATTGAAAGAGGTATGCTGCTCTTGATAGTCAAACATACTTTTTAAAAATTTTAATTTTATTGGTACAATTTAGATATACCCATGGTCACATTCATCATAGGAAATTTATACCTTTGTATGATATATCTTGACTCCTCTTTTTCTTCCCATTCCCCAACCCTCCCTTCAATTTCTCTTCCACTCATTTGCAAAACTTTACAAAGGGCAACAAATAAAGAGGCTTGGAGGTATCCTTAATACCTTTCCTGGTACCTAGGATGATGAAAGTTTTCACTCTGCCAAGGATACCTGCAAGTCAGAGGACAACTGAAGCTGAAATATTTTCACGTGCCACTGTGGATGCAGTTCACTAGCAAACTTTCATAAGTTCATCGTTCTTCCATTCAGATGTCATTGGAAAGAGATTCAAGAATCTGCGTAATTATACAGAAAATTCTAGTCTAGAGGAGTAGATGTCATGTCTAGGACTGTATTTCAGAGGAAAGACATTTCTTTGAGGGAAGAAGAGATTATTTCAATAAAAACTCAGGGGGTGTTAGTAGCTGAAATGGAAACTACACCTTTCTGAAACTATTTTTGAAAAGTGATCTAAATAGTGGATGCTTTAGTTTTGAATTCACTGATGAATTTTGTTAAACTGTATTCTACCTGCCATACTCTATTTTCTGCTTTAACAGATGTCTCTCTTCAGTTTTGAAAAAGAGTTAAATGTCACCAAAATGTAATTAGGCTTCAGACAGAAGCTCAGGGCTAATGGGGATAATATTTGTACACCAAACTCCCTGCGTGCTTTAGTGCTTGTCTTTCCTGTTGCATCTCACCACTTCAAGAGCTGTTATTTATACTAATGTTCTTGAATTGTGAAATTATTAAATTGAGCATAGTATTTGTAAAAGAACATATTTATCTATAAAATGTAAAGCACAAATTCTTCTCTAGAACCAAGGAGTTAACCTTATATACCAAAGTCTATTCCTTTATTGTTAGCTGATTCATTCAATCAATAAAGATAAATATACAGATATATTTGAAGAGGGAGAAAAACACAGGAGACAGAGGTAGAGAAAGCTTTCTTGCTAAGCATTGTAACAAAGTTATCATTCTTTCCCAGTTTCTTTTCTACTTTGTCTTCTACTTCTATCTCTTCCTATTAGTAAGAAAGCAGTAGAGTAGGAAATAAATATTTTTCTTGATACCAGAGTTTCAAAAACAGAATACTTAGCTAATAGTGTGATAGTATGACTAGCACTAACACATTCCAACATGGGTTTTGAAAATATAACTTTTATTCACATTCTCATGAAATATATACATCAAATTTATAAAATGTCAAAAACAAGCTCTCTGTATAAAGTAGAAATAAAACCATAAAACTCTCCTTGGAAGACAGGTTCTAAGTTAGTAGTCTTTCTCATGCGAACTGCTGTAACTCTATTTTTAGATTGTAACGTGTTGTTTAGTGGAAGCTGCTAAGCACATGAAAGTTGGTATGGTATCGCACTCTTCTCGAGCCCTTCCATGAAATTAAACTGTCCCACCCACTTACAATGGCAGAGAATTCCTTCGTTTGACCCTCAAATGCTTTAGAATACCCAAATGAATTGCAATCATGTGACATTTAGACAGCAGGACATTGGTCTCTGGGTTAAATTTTTCCACAGGAATATAATAAAATGAGAGACAAAATTTAAAGTCCTTTTTAGAGACATTAATTTCTCATGTACTTTTCATCCCATTTTTCTCTATCTCAGAGGTTCATTTGAAGATTCAACAACGAGATTTTACACAGCATGTGTGGTAGAAGCTTTTGCCTATCTCCATTCCAAAGGAATCATTTATAGGGACCTCAAGCCAGAAAATCTCATCTTAGATCATCGAGGTTATGCCAAACTGGTTAGTACATTTTCTTTCCTGTAGTTTTCAAATTATATTTGTTTATAAAACTCTGCTTATTTGCCAACATTAAAAACTGGATTCTATTTTAGTGCTATATCTTCTCTTAAAAGTACATTTTAGTGTTGCAGTTTTCAATTGAATATTTTCATTATGCAAAAGTTACTAGGAATTAAATTGGCTAGTTTGAGTTACTAATACACTGACAAAACATGCCTGGTAGCAAGTATGAGAAGTCATCCTTGCCAGCATGTGTTTACAGAGCTGACCAGAAGGAGCTTATAGAATTTATTTTTTTCTAGACAGCCTTTTACCATTTAAAGTCAAGGGATGTTTACATTATAGAAAAATGTGAAGCATTTTACTGTTACAGATTTTAGAATAATGCTGGGGAGAGTTACTTGGCTTTGAAGGTAATGTTACAGAGGCTATATTAATAATAGATTATTAACAACTGGTCAAAATTCCTAAAGACTTATTGTAGAAGCAAATTATACAATGATTTTGGGTTTAAATCGGTCAGTGCCTGATCATATTTTTAATTTTTTAAATTTTTATTCAGTAGAAAAATGCATTCAGTTATGTGTAGTCTCAACTGAATTTTAGAAAAGAAAACGGTTTTCTGCATTTGCAGTTCCTCCTTCAAAAGTTTTTTAAAAACTTAAGGCTACATTTCAATGCTATGTTTGTGTTTACTAAGAAAGAGTCAGTTGTACCATAACTGTGTTACTTACCTCCTTCAACAGCAAAGTTGATTCTCAGATAATTAATGCTAGGTGAACTGTCAACTTCATGAAGTCCAGTCTAAATCATGAATAATCTAGGAAAGATATTAGGTAGGCTTGCTAGCTGTTCTAAAACGTAAGGCTAAGGAAGAAACCTCCTCTGGCATAAAAGTGCAAAAATTGAAAAGTATTTTCAGAAATAAATGTTTGCTTTTCTTTTTCATATTATGAATTTTATCTAATACTCAAGTTTCAAATTTTTATTTGAAACTGAGTCTGTGCAGTTAGATTTTGTTTGCAATATACCAGATTTCTGTTTTGACGTGTTTTTAATCACCAGTATATTTCAGGAAAATAGTTTACTGCTGTACAATTTATCCATAAGTGACTTAAGAATCTTGTTTTTCTCCCATTGTAAGGTTGATTTTGGCTTTGCAAAGAAAATAGGATTTGGAAAGAAAACATGGACTTTTTGTGGGACTCCAGAGTATGTAGCCCCAGAGATCATCCTAAACAAAGGCCACGACATTTCAGCAGACTACTGGTCACTGGGAATTCTAATGTATGAACTTCTGACTGGCAGGTATGGACATTTATAGAAAACTGCTAACAAAACTAGAACACAAGCAACCATACGCTCCTGCTTTTGTCACTCTGATTTGACCATCTCAAAGTTATTTCGCCCTATGTCAGTACCATTTCAAGTAGTTAGGCAAGTAACCACAGATTGATGAAGTTAGATCTAAAAGAGGTCAGACAGAGGCAACCAGTGCAATACCAGCTTTTAGACTCATTACTGCTAATTCCTCTGTGTGTGTGTGTGTGTGTGTGTGTGTGTGTGTGTGTGAATGTAAAGGGATCCCATATATTTATGTGAGATGTTTGAGCTCAGTCATTTAACAAAAATTAAAGTAAGGAAAGTTTAATCATACAAAGATTTCTAGGGCCAAATATCTATAGAAATAAAAGGACCTGTTAGCAATTTTATATCTAAATGAAATGTGACTATTTGCTGACCTTTTGCGTGTAATATTATAATCAGCAACTAAAAAAGGTACAAGGGATACCACAAGATATAAGGCCAAATTATAACCTCCTCATGGGTTCACACTTAAAGAAAAAGAATGTATTCCTTTTCTTTAAGTATGTTTTCTTTCTATTACAGTGAGTAATAGAAATATGACTTGCAGAGGTCAACAGAGGGCCAGGGGGCTTTTAAAGAATACAATTTTTACTTGGACCTTAAAGGAAGAAGGATTTGTAGACTTAGAGAGAAAGGGAAAGGGCGTTCCAGGCAGAGAGGTGTGGCTCTCCTAAAATTACTAAAGCTGCAGCTAGTATATGATCCATCAATGCACTTCTGAGTATATCTCCAAAGGAAAGGAAATTGGTATGCTAAAGAGACAACTGTTTCATATTATCAATTGTTCATTTTAATCCTTGTTTACACTTTCAGTTTCTCATACCAGAGAAACTATTTAGTATTTACGCATGTGTGTCCTATTTATTTCACATTTCCCCATTTAGCTATAATTGTCTCTAATTTCTCATTCTTTATGGCTGCGAGTACTCCATTTAAAAAAAATACACGAAGAAAGTGAGAGGGGGGGGAGAGGGAGAGAGAGAGGGAGAGAGAGAGAAATGTAGAAGGATGAAAAGCCCTTAGTGATTTTAAGCTACTGAGGTTTTGGAGATTGCTTCTTACTACAACTTAATTTAGCCTGTGCTGTACACAATAGAAAAAGTAAGTGTTGCAAACTATATTAAAAGTGCAGAGGGTTGGGGATTTAGCTCAGTGGTTCCACCACCTGCCTTGCTAAGTGCAAGGTCCTGAGTTTGATCCTTGGTACCAAAAAACAAAACAAACAAAACAAAAAGAATGCAGAGAGTAACACAAATGGGGATGGTGAGAAAACTAAATTTTCATTTAGGAAAGCAGGAATTCAATAGATAATGTTTTAAATGAAAATAAATATTCATTTTATTTTTACTCCGAGTTTCTCACATAAGAGAAACCATGTGCTATTTGAGCTTATTACCTCATTTATTTCATTTAACATTATTATGTCAAGGTGCATCCATTTTCCTACAAATGACTCATTTGTATTTTTTCACAGCAGAGTAGTGCTTCACGGTGTGTAAGTACTACATTTTCTTTATTCATCTATTGATGGACATATGGGCAATTTCTAAGATTTAACTACTGTACAAAGTTGAAAACAGCCCAATTGCCCATCAACTGGATAAAAAGTTTTCTTTTTAATAAATGGAGTACTACTCAGCCATAAAGAATGAGAAACTATAGACATTTATAGCTAAATGGATGCACATTGAGGCCATACTCTTAAGTGAAATAAATAGGACACACATGTGCAAATACCAAAGAGTTTTTTTGGTGTGAGAAACTGAAAGTGTAAATAAGGATCAAAAGGTATAATAGATAATGTGAAATAGGAAGAAAAGGTGCAAAGGGAAAGGGGAATTGGGGTGGAGAGGGGAAGGAGAAAGGAAAGAAGGGAATGGATTAATATGAGAAAATAATAAAATGGAAACAAAGTCTTTGTATATGGGGAGGGGAGAGGGGCTGAAGAGAGGGCCAGGGAAATGGGGAAAAAAAAGAACCGAGATATGTTATGTAAAGGTACAAATTCCCAATGATGAATGTCATTATATTGTATACCACAATGTACCAAGAAAATTAATTTTAAAAAAAGAGACACCTGCACTCCATGTTCAAGTATAGCCAAGAAACAGAAGCAAGCTAAGTGTCATCAGCTGAGGCACTGATAAAAAATGGTCATCTAAGATAAAACATATAAATTTAAAAGCAAAATTATTAATGAAAAAGTATCAATAGTAAAATTCCAAGATTTGGTTCTTCCTCAGTTTTTAAACTAAAGATCAAAATTGGCAAGAGAGTGAAGAGAATATTTAACCAAAACATCAAATGAATAGAAATTTTTCAAATTCCAAGATCTTTCTAAACAGAATTGTATGCTTATCCATTTAAAAAAGTGACTAAATTGGTAATTAGGTAGGTTGGATGAGGGGAGGGGATGAAAAATTTAAAATGTGTTAGATGTAGATGTACAGAGTGCCTCTGAGGAATATACTGTGAACATGTACTAATAAAAAATGAAATTTAAATAAAATTAACAATTACACCTATGACATATTGAAGTAAATAGAAAATGTTTGTACAAAAAATTCAGAGCAGATGTCAGCACAGCCCTTAACAAAAGAAAATGTGCTATTCTCTATTTTAAGCCTGCCTCAAAAGAAGAAATAATTTACACTATTAATAAATATGAGGGATAAAAATAAAATTCATAAGATTTTTTTCCAAAGAGATGTGGGTCAATAAAATTAATTAAAAGGGGGAAAATATATAATAATCATGTTCAGGTTCATTACAGAATAGCACAGGCACTATGACTCTATGCTTAACGATTAAAATGCGTGGTATGTAGCAGGTTAGAACTGATTTGTTTTCCAGTACTTGATGATGAAAGAAAGTGTACTCATTTGCAAATGAATATCTACCAAAAAAGTCAACAGATCTTGCTTACAGGGATTTATATGGGCAATTTCTAAGATTTAACTACTGTACAAAGTTGAAAACAGCCCAATTGCCCATCAACTGGATAAAAAGTTTTCTTTTTAATAAATGGAGTACTACTCAGCCATAAAGAATGAGAAACTATAGACATTTATAGCTAAATGGATGCACATTGAGGCCATACTCTTAAGTGAAATAAATAGGACACACATGTGCAAATACCAAAGAGTTTTTTTGGTGTGAGAAACTGAAAGTGTAAATAAGGATCAAAAGGTATAATAGATAATGTGAAATAGGAAGAAAAGGTGCAAAGGGAAAGGGGAATTGGGGTGGAGAGGGGAAGGAGAAAGGAAAGAAGGGAATGGATTAATATGAGAAAATAATAAAATGGAAACAAAGTCTTTGTATATGGGGAGGGGAGAGGGGCTGAAGAGAGGGCCAGGGAAATGGGGAAAAAAAAGAACCGAGATATGTTATGTAAAGGTACAAATTCCCAATGATGAATGTCATTATATTGTATACCACAATGTACCAAGAAAATTAATTTTAAAAAAAGAGACACCTGCACTCCATGTTCAAGTATAGCCAAGAAACAGAAGCAAGCTAAGTGTCATCAGCTGAGGCACTGATAAAAAATGGTCATCTAAGATAAAACATATAAATTTAAAAGCAAAATTATTAATGAAAAAGTATCAATAGTAAAATTCCAAGATTTGGTTCTTCCTCAGTTTTTAAACTAAAGATCAAAATTGGCAAGAGAGTGAAGAGAATATTTAACCAAAACATCAAATGAATAGAAATTTTTCAAATTCCAAGATCTTTCTAAACAGAATTGTATGCTTATCCATTTAAAAAAGTGACTAAATTGGTAATTAGGTAGGTTGGATGAGGGGAGGGGATGAAAAATTTAAAATGTGTTAGATGTAGATGTACAGAGTGCCTCTGAGGAATATACTGTGAACATGTACTAATAAAAAATGAAATTTAAATAAAATTAACAATTACACCTATGACATATTGAAGTAAATAGAAAATGTTTGTACAAAAAATTCAGAGCAGATGTCAGCACAGCCCTTAACAAAAGAAAATGTGCTATTCTCTATTTTAAGCCTGCCTCAAAAGAAGAAATAATTTACACTATTAATAAATATGAGGGATAAAAATAAAATTCATAAGATTTTTTTCCAAAGAGATGTGGGTCAATAAAATTAATTAAAAGGGGGAAAATATATAATAATCATGTTCAGGTTCATTACAGAATAGCACAGGCACTATGACTCTATGCTTAACGATTAAAATGCGTGGTATGTAGCAGGTTAGAACTGATTTGTTTTCCAGTACTTGATGATGAAAGAAAGTGTACTCATTTGCAAATGAATATCTACCAAAAAAGTCAACAGATCTTGCTTACAGGGATTTGAGTATTATATTTGTGCTACCAAAAAGGATGCCTAAGTCAGGTCATCTTCTGCGAACTGATGAACGTGGCGGGAAGAACAGGAGGAGCACTATTCTATGGTAACCCGAGATCAACAAATATTTGTTGTTATTCACTAACTGTAAGGTCCTCTCTTCAACTCTTCGTTGAGCAGTGGAGCTGAAGAGCAGAGAATGAAACAGTCTAAAAGTGCAAAACACATAAAACAGTCATAAAAATCAAATATACAGTAATTCTAAGGTACAATGAGTGGAATACATGGTGGTATAAGAAAATAGGACAGGGACCTTTAAAGTTTGAAAATGAAGCATTGGATTAGATCGTTAGATAATTTTAGTGGAAACAGGTTATCAGTTATACTAGGTTGATCTGAATAGGCCTTTTTGAGGGCCCAATTTAACCCTTAACCTGAGATTAGACTAAGTGACACCTTAGCAGATAAACATGGTCAGCTTCCTCAGGCAAAAGGAGCAGCGTCCTGAGCTGGAAAGGACCTGGTGTTGCAGAACAGTGGAGAAGCTTCCATGCCTGGATCCCAGTGAGTGAGGGTGGCGAGGGTACGAGCTGTCGGGTTGGATCCTTCATGTTCTTGTGGCTCATCCTAACGATTTTAAACTTCATCTTAAGTGTAATCAACAAGTTAATTAGTGTAAAAAAGGCCAGAAAGTTAAGGAGAAAGTGTGAATGACCAGGGACAGCAAGGGTAGTTTAGGTATCTGCGCTAGAAAGATGTGAAGGGAACGCTGGTGATGCCTGACCTACTTATGCTTTTGCTAAATGATTTACATGGCAGGGCTTTCACACTGTCTTGCTATTCAACCAAATTTCCTTCTACTGTCACTCAACATGAGAACTGGTGTCACTTGTGGAGTTTACGAGAACATGAGTGTTTTTATTTAGAGTGTAGAAATAGCATCTCTTATTGGTTCTCTCACTCTTGCAGCCCACCTTTCTCAGGCCCAGATCCTATGAAAACCTATAACATCATACTGAGGGGGATTGACATGATCGAATTTCCAAAGAAGATTGCTAAAAATGCTGCTAATTTAATTAAAAAACTATGCAGGTGAGTGTTTTAACCACAATATTTTCTAAAGGGCCATCACGTCAAAAATTATTTAACAGAATTATTATCTTGCTTTTAGGGACAATCCATCAGAGAGGTTAGGAAATTTGAAAAATGGAGTGAAAGACATTCAAAAGCACAAGTAAGTGTTCTTCTCTTATAACTCTAGGTTTCAGAGTTCAGAAAACCCAAGAGTGTTTCTCCAGGGTGACATTTTTTCTATTATTGGTCTATGGCTAAAATAGTTACCACACAGGAAAACCCAAAGAGAAAATGCAGACAAAAATCAGACTTTCAGAGGTTTTTTTTTTTTTGAGTGTTTTGAGCTTTATTTAAATACAGCTGTGACTTTGCAAACAAGAAAGTCACTGATTCAGTCTTTCTCATACTATCAAGCTCTGCTCCCTGAGCCTACACATGCAGAAAATTTGTATCTTTGAATTTGGAAAGTATATTCTCCCCAAAAACATTAAAACCAAAGTCATCCACTGTTTTGGCTGTATGTTCTATAGCTAAACCAACCCAAATTGATTTTCTGTCTTGGACTGATTGTCTAATGCTCCTGGGAAACTGACATCCTTTCAAAGGAACTTGTTTACTGAGATACCCCTGAATACGTTTCTTGAAGACATGCCAAGAATTCGGTGTAAGAATCTACCAGCAGTGACACCTTTCAAAGATAAAACAAAACAAAAAATAAAACTTAACACTACAGTATGTGCTCTTCATTTTCACAGGAAAGCTGTACATACAGTGTCTTCTATTAAAAAGCAAAAACATCAGGAAAATGGGTTATGAAGAGACAAATATAGAAACGTGAAAAGGTTAACTAGCTGAGACTACGCATGGAATCAGGGACAAAGATGGGAAGCTAGTTTTCTGTCCTGACTTTTCAACCCCTGATTTTCCCTCCTTAAAATAAAGTATCCTGTAAGATGCAGGGCCTTGTATATTCGGACATCTATTAAATATAATGCTAGTGCAGGAGCAAAGTCATACAAACAATATGACTGAAGTAACAGGGGAGAAGATTTGTATAGAAGTTGGTTTTTAAATGTGATGATTATACTCTTAAAATACGCATTGCCTATAGTAAGCTAATTGAAAAAACACTTCAATTAAATAAACATTTTTATCCCATGGAAAAGTTTACCTCACTGTTTTCTACTACGTACCTATCTTATATGTTGTAAGAAGATTTTTAGCTGAGACACAGTGCCTGTAACTGTTTTTCTTTTCTAGATGGTTTGAAGGCTTTAACTGGGAAGGCTTAAGAAAAGGCACCTTGACACCTCCCATAATACCAAGTGTAAGTGGACTTTCCTGCTTAGAGTTGTGTGTCATGTTCGATGGTGTTTCCTATCAGTCAACAAAACTGTTATTTTTAAATTTTATCCCATGATTGCATTAAATAAAACATAGGAGAAGTACGATGTAAACTAATGACATGTTCCAAAATCTAAGCTGAAAAACAGACTGTGGGGTGGTGTGTTTTACCCTTAGCTTTTAAACTATTAATTTCAAATTTCATTTAGGGATGAGTGAATTAACTCTTGTTTCTGCAAATGTTAAATCCACGCAGATATGAGCAGAAAAAGCAATGAATAAGCTATCATTTCTTGGCTGACGTTGTTTCATTTTTCCGGGCCCATTGTGTGTCTTTCCAATGCTCCTTGGCTTTAAAAGAGGAAGGATCTCTATTTTGATAGCCGTTTTACCAAGTGGACAGTTTACACTGTATTGACCAGAAACAGATCTCAAATGGTGCTTTGATATTTTTCTCCAGCGTGGCATCTGTTTCGTGAAATGTTTGGCACCATCACTAAGGAGTGGAAGGCTGCTTTGCCATCCTGGGATTTTGATTTATGTGCTTCCTGTCTCAAGTCTGCTACTCGTGCAGAAACATTTTAAGATTTATTCCTGTACTAATATTTATTTATTCATTTAACAAAAAAAATATCATGCCAAAATAAAAAAAATTATCATATCTCAGATTACAGATGCTGATTGCATTCATGAAGTTTTATTTTTAGAACAAGAACAAAATAAAAAAACTGGTAGAGATAAGTATTCTAACCTAAAATTTACCAGGCTCTCTTTATGCGGTAGTAATTTGAACAGATTTTTACTGATGTTTTATAGATAAGGATTTGCCCAGTAAATTTGCAGTAGCTTTCTTCAAGTCTAGACCTGACTTTTATTATGTTTAGAATAAGCACACAAAGGCTTTAATGAGGCCTATCAGGCCCTATGTAATCTAGCTCCTGACTACTTCTCCAGACTCACCTTATTCTGTTCCCCTCCTGGCTTATACAGTAGCCATGAAGGCATCTCTTTATTACTTCAAAGCACAGGATCCCTCACCTCAGGACCTTTGCATGTGCTATACCTTCTTTATTGAACTCATTGATTCTTAGGTTAACAGTAATACATTTTCAAAGAAGCTTTGCATGATCACTCTGTTACTCTCATGATGCCTCGTGTTTATTTTTCATACCACTAGCCAGTTTACAATTCTATATGGATTTTTTGTGATTATCTAATCAAACAATTGCTCACTTAATATAGCATAAATTCTCCAAGGGTAAAAACCCAGTTGATTTGTATAGACTCCTCCTATTCCCAGTTCAAAGTAGAAATCCTCTGATATAGCAGGGGTTCACTCTGTCATTGAATAGGGGATGAATAGATTATGCTTTTAAAAATTATAGCTTGATGGATAAAGAAAATGTGGTGCATAAACACAGTGAAATACTGTTCAGCCACAAAAAGAATCCTGTTATCTGTGGCAACATGGATGGAACAGAAGCTCATGTTAAGTGAAAGAAGTCAGACACAAGAGACAAATACCACACAATTTCACTGATATGTGGAATCAAAATAAAAAGTAGAGTGATGGTTAGGAGGAGCTGAGGAAAGTAGGGGAAAAGGAAAGATGGGGAAAAGTTGATCAGTGGGGAGTAAGTTACAGTTGGATGTTAATAAGAATTTCTGTGTTTTTTACACAGTATTGCTATCGAACAATAAGGTGACTATAAATAACAATAAATCCCGTCCTTTCAAATAGCTAAAGGAAAGCATCCTGAAAGTTTCTACCAGAAGGAAATGACATACATTTAGGTGATAAATATGTTTAACTTGATTTAAAGATGCAATACATACATGTATTGAATGTTGCATGGTAACCCATTAATAGGTACAATGTTTATGTTTTTACTACCAGTTTAAAAATAAATATCAAACCTATTTTTTAACTGTGAAAAATAAAAGTCTAGTTTGGAGTTCTATTAAGAAAACCCCAGATACCTCTTGTTTGTTATTCATTCTCTCACGTTTCAGGTTGCATCTCCCACAGACACAAGCAATTTTGACAGTTTAGAAGAAAACCCCAGATACCTCTTGTTATTCATTCTCTCACGTTTCAGGTTGCATCTCCCACAGACACAAGCAATTTTGACAGTTTCCCTGAAGACAATGATGAACCTCCACCTGATGACAACTCAGGATGGGACATAGACTTCTAATGTATTTCTCTTACCTGCTTCTGCCTTGCTGAAGACAGCTTTTTCTGAGACACAGCTGCCAGCAAACTTGAGGGAAAGAGAGAAGATTAGTGCTCGGGGTCACCATGATGCCTTTGATCGATGCTGCTCCAGTAACTACAGTGGCATTAGGACTTATGCTTAGATGATAGTAGTGCTCTTTCCATGTTTTCTGTTTGATTCTTAAATAACAGTTGACATGGTGGTCCTGAAGCAAAGCCTTTCACCTGTAAAGAGGTGTTTTCTATTATTGCAACAATCTTGCTTTGCTGTGATTGTAATTTGAAGTCTGTAAGAAACATGTCAACCTGGTAAGAGTCTGTACCTTGCTAGAATTTTTGAGATGATGAAAGAATAATATATTGGGTACTATAGATTACTATGGTACGGTACCTGGGCTAATCCTTTTCTTCAAGTGAAGGCTGTGGGATCACTTCCTGCAAGCTGGTGTATATACCACACAAAAGAGGACCACACATCTGTGGGCTACAGAGTTCATGTCAAATCAGTGCTAGAAATTTCATGATTTTATTTCCCAGCAGTGCTGATGACAAGACTGAATGTTACCTTTTCTTTCAGACAGATTTTAAAAATTGATACGATAAAAGCACAACTGCTATGGATTCTGCTGAGAACTCTCATAGCAGGTATATATGCATTTTCACAAAAGATTGAAAAAATGCATGAAATTTTTTTCTTTTAATAAATTGGCATGACAGAGTGGAGAAAAAGGCAATTCACAAAACTATTTCATATTTTTTAAAAGGTACTGTTCTTAAAGATGGTCCTGGAGATAAGTGACTAGCAGCCAATTGGTTTTATTTATTACCTAATATGCCCTCAAACTGAGACTTAAAATATTCCCTTTTATAAAAATAAACCCTTGGGATGAGGGTAGGGTAGGGTAGGATAGGAGGGAAAAAGACCCATCAAAGAAAAGTAAAATGAAAACACTATATAGGTGCTATGTATATCTTTCATCTGTAATGTCAATGTCTGAATGAACACACAAATTCTAATCATTATATGTCTAGCCAGATGCAAGCATCTTCACTAAATTTATTAAGCCAAGCTCATGTCAGATTTCACTTACACAACATAATCTAGATTTGAGAGGAAAAGGTGATTACATATAGCTTTTGTCTTAGGTCTGAACCACAGAGAGAGAGAGAGAGAGAGAGAGAGAGAGAGAGAGAAGAGGGAGTGAGAGAGGGAGAGAGAGCGAAAGAGAGAGAGAGGCGAAGTAAGAAAGCACAAGGTCAAAATTCCTAAGATGTACTAGACCAGGAACCTTACTTGTCTGAGGTCAGAGAACAAGAAAAGAAGCTGATCACTGGCTGATTACTTTTTTTCTTGAGTAAGCTCAGGCATTCATCAAAGTAGGAAGGAATAGATTAGAGAGAAAAACAGGAATCTGATTTCTTAAAAATAAAGTTTAGATAAATAGAAGAGAAACATTACAATCTTGCAATTTCACTTGTACGGCAAGACTGGATTTGAATACTTCAAACTGATTTTCTTTCTTGTCCTAGGGAAAAGAATGTGCAAATGAAATCAGAGCTACTCTTGGCAGGCCAGGAGACCGCAATTAGCTGTCATAAGTTACAGAGCCTTTGGGGAAGCTTTTCCTGGACAGATAGCTTTGTACCCATGCAGATCAATGTGTAACCTTCCAGCTGCCCTTCTGACTTGGAGTTTTATGTAAATTTGGTATAATAAATACAGATTTGCTTTTATCTAATAGTGTTTTTAAAACCAGTCTAATATACATGTTACCACAAAACTATGTCTGATTAGATCATAATATTATAGCCAAGAAAGCATATATTATGAATTTTAACTTTTCATACTCAAAACAACTGATACAAGAATAGAATATTCTAAAATGATTTGGAGGATAAAACTACTGAAGGTATATGATATATAATTTTAAAAGTTCAATTAAAACTTTGACCCTAAGATACTATTATGATTATGTCTTCAGAGTTTTCCCTCTTAGAAACAATTTCTCAAAATCAAACTATTTGCCGAGATATCTGTTTTCTGCTACAGCATTTAAAATATAAAGTCAAACATATAAAAATCTAGCTCTGAATATTATTTCAGAAGTTTTATATTTCTTTTAATTGGGCTTTCAAATTACACAATCCCACGTTATCTTATGTGTTCAATAATTTTCTTTGAAAAATAGTGCGGTTTAGGCATGCTAAAGGCTTGCTAGAATAATGAGAAAATGTATGTGCTCTTACAATTACTGAAATATCCACCAAGCCCCTGAAATAAGCACTTCCTATGGATTTTGGCACTATGGTTCAAGTCTAAGACAATTCACAAGTTGTATCAGTTCTGTGGAGAAGGAAGAAGTAGCATTCAGCACAACGTAACTATAGACATTTTTTCCACTGGTAACTGCGCCTTTCTTTGTTCATTTCATCTGCACCTTTGCATTGGGATGTCTAAAGCAATCACCAAAAAGTAAAGGTGAACTATATCTTCTGAGAATCACTTACTGATAACATTCATCTGGTTTTCAACAATTTTAAGGAATTAAATCTTGTCTTAATGAAGACACTAGGGCTACAATTCATGATCGACTTCATAAAGTTCATCTCACCTTATTTCTGAATTATTCATGGCCCCTCTTTGTTTTATTAAAGAACACCTGGATCAGTGGGAAGAGTGCCAACCTGTTTGATTTGTTAACTGACTTTCTTGTTAATACTTTGAGTTTGGGAAATAAGGGCTTTCTGTGTGTCTTAACTCACAGAAAAACAGAAAACTATAAAGGAAAGGAGCATGTCATATTTAAGATAAATTGAACTCATTAGAGAAAATGATTTCTGGAAAATTGTTATAATTGATTTTTATGTTTGTTACTGTCTTTGTTATTAAGATATGAATCAGATCCATGCATCATTTAAAACAAATTTATTTTGATTATATTCATTATGAGTCATATATTTGCTTAAAATCATGGAACATACATGTGAATTGCACATGTATAATAATAATGAACTCAACTAATAAACTTTTCTTGTTTCATTTCTGAATGACTAAATTGATGATGAATTTAAACTTAAAGAAGTCAGCTACCATATTAAACACAAAGGATATTAGAACTGATATGGTACAAGAGAGGTGATCTGTGCATTATCCATAACAATGTTTTATTTCACAATAGGACCACAGACAAATATTTATGTAAATAGATATTTTTGTGTGAAATTTTGTGGTACATATAACCTTTTTTAGTGTTTCACAGCATTATTATTTCATTTTATCTGTATTGAGTAATGTTTTTAGGTCCAAGTAGACTTGAATTAATGTCATAATTGTCAGTATTATTGAAAATTATGTCAACAGTACTGTTATTCATCAGTCCTATAGTTTAGAACATGACCTGGCTATCTGGCATTGTTGCAAGTGCCTTAAATTCATGGCATCTTATTAAAAAGACAAATTTGGTGTTATGCTGCATGACAAAGACAAACACACCTCAAAATGTTGTCCTTTCTTAGCTTGCTGCGTTTTACAGTTCTTTCTGCTAACAATTTATAAGCCTTTATTATATAATATTGATCAATTACAGAAATGATGAAGTTGTTCTCTTATTTCTGTTAAATGTACCAGAGCTGTGTATCTGTTAATGAGATACAGCATCATTTCTGTGAAATGTATAAATGTATGTGCAGGTCAAATTAATATATGACATACTATCAGTCTGTATACAGGTATTCCTGTTTTGCTAATCTGTGCAGATTCAATTTTAAAAAATTAGTGCAGTCAAATTCTCATTTTACAGACTCCATTAACAGTGGTCCAACTCAAAAGCAAAATTGGAAGTGACTGCTAATCACACCTCATTACGAAACCAATGATGAAAAAGTACCTTGGTGCACCATTGAACAAAACAGGATGCTTTCTCGGAGTTCTTGTATATGCAAATCATTTATAAGGCAAGTTTTCCACAGAACTAGAAAGCAAAACATTAAAACTGCGTTGTTTGCCCTCCTCTTTATCTGCCCCTACATCAACAGATAGAGCTCTGGGACCTTGGCAATGACTCAGAAGTTTGGACTTTCTGAGTAAAGAGACATCTCTGTAAGCATCATCTATCCAATTTATTTCAATGTATGATGTTTTTACAACTGGTCAGTTCTTTTGTATTCTTAAAGCTATGGTTATTTGATTGTCCTCTTACAATTTGTTCTACATGAAAGAGTCCTTTGTTAGTCAGAATGCAACAAACTGTCGTCCAGTGGTCATTGACTACTTGCACTCTTTTGATGTAGATTAAAAACTTTTTCATAAACTTAACCTGCTTTGATTTGCTCTGTATTTTTCCTGCAGCTGTAATTGCTGAGTGCCTGTTGTATACTTTATAGAGTTGAAATAAAAAAATTACTTTTGAACTTACTTGATGTTTAATTCCAGAAAAAATTCAAAGAGTAGAATTAGTTTATACTATTTGAATTGAAATTCTGTGTAATGCCATTGTAGAATATCACTACCACAATGGCGAAGATACGTATGTCCAACTGTCCTTTGTGAAACAATATAATCTACTATGAAATTAATACAACAATCACTTTAAAGAACTCATTAGGAATAAAATTAGTCATACAGCCTGTATAATAAATCACATATAGGTATCCACACAAAACCAGAGATTAGCACATTTCACCAGATTACTACCTTAATCACCAACCATTCCTTTGACCATTCCGCATCCAGCTCTGAAGTAGGCAGTCAAAAGGAGGATTTTCAAATACTACTGTGCCAGGAGGGAATGAATTAAAACAAAAAGCAAGTTTATATGTCTCTGCCTAATATTTGTTCACCAGATCCCTCTGTTAATCTTCAAATATGTAAAAAATAAAATTTGGAAAGCAATGTGGTTATAATACATCCAACTCTGAAACCTTTGTGAATATATTCTTCCCGCACCACTTTGCTCCTCACTGCAGGAAATGGTGCTCACACTAAGACTGGTTACAGAGTATAGATTTCTTCAGTTTGGTGGTGTTCTCTTGTTCACATCGCATTGTCAGTGACAGTGAGTTAGAAAGCCTTGTTGAATGAAACCTGGAAGTTTGGTTCAGTTAACTTTCTCAGGTGGAACCAATGAAACAATTTGAAGAAAAATGTCAATATAACGCATCCAGTAGTTTTCTTTCTTCAGCAAATAGAACTGTAACACAAGCTTTTAGAAGCCATTCTTTTTTATTTTATACACTAGATCTACAAATGGCATTACTTAATCCTGAAAGGTTGATGTTTTTTAATTAATCCCAAAGATTTAGGAGCAGTATGGAGACCAAATTTATGACTATTAAACACATGGAAGAGGTGGGGCCGGTTGGTGATGGCGAAGATATCATATCTTGTGCACGCTAATTTCAGTGGGATTAAATCTGAACACAATTATTCAACTACAACAGTAGTTGTAGGAATTCAATTTTTTTTTTGGGGGGGTACCAGGGATCGAACTTCAGTCTTTATGCTTGTGAGGCAGTTGGTGGAACCACTGAGCTAAATCCCTGGCTCAGGAATTCTATTTTAAATGTGAGAAGGGTAAACAGAGGGTGTAGTGACCCATGTTGATTACATGATATACTTGAAGACCTACCTTCAGATTCTGTTATGGCCTTAAGGGTGACGTGTACATGACACTCGGCATCTGCCACACTAATATTTTTTTCTGAAAGTCTTATTTAAACTCTTTCTGTGTCCATATTCACCACATAAAAAACCTTGTAAGTTGGTTGATAAAGCATTAGTCTGAGATCTGTCTTTCACCTAAGGTGAAGCTATAAAACAAATGACAAATGCATCCACATTGTAATTAGGAAAAGCAAATACATTAAGCTCAACCTCATGCAATAATTTTTTTTTAAAAATGGAGGAAGAGGAGAAGGAGGAGGCAAAGAAAACAAAACATACCTAACAACCTCAAAAGGTGGCCACAGGTTTCATAAAATGTAAAGGTCAGTATCAAGGGATATAATTTAGACCAGTGTTTTTCAGACATTAATGCCATAAAACATGTCTGCAATATAAACTAAAAACGTAGATTTCCGTAATCTCCCAGTTATTCTGAAATACAATTCAGAAATCTGAATTCTTAATAAACATCCTTATTGTATTTCACTAGAAATACACACATACACAGACACACACAAACACATCTCCACACCACAGAAATAGTAAAATAAAATCTATGGGAAAATACTTCAGAAATGGTTGGGTAAAGTTAAAAAAAAATCTACACAGAATTGCAGACAATCAGAACATATGAAGTATCTGCAAAATGCTAAATGATATTAGTGTTCCCTTGAACTCTCTTTTCAATTAACGTATGAAAGCAGATGCTAAAAATAAACTGTTTTATTAAGGAATAGAAACACATCTCAATTTATAAAACCTAAAAGATACATTTATGCCCACTGTATGTATCTAGTACATCAGGCCAGGGAGCTAGGAGTTAATTTGTATGAAGACTATCAATCTTCTAAGGAGAAATAATGAGGGACTTGAGGCTTCTGGCTTAAGGGGATTTTGACCTCAGCTCCAGAATGTCCAGTTTCCTTTCCTGGGTACTTGCCTGCCCCTTGGAATTTAAGTTTAATATTTTAATTTGCTTCATCTGTCACTTCACACAGAAGCGTTAAGAGCCAATACAACTCCATTCTTTTTCTTTCCTCCACTGTTGTGATGAATTCTTCAGCAGAGGCCACCCTGTTAGCTTCAGAGGATGGCAGTGTACAGTAGCAGAGCAGGTAGCCAACTTTCTAAGGACTTGGCCTGGAATCTATTATTTTCAAACACTAATATTCTGACTCTGCCCATTGACGCATCATAACCTTGTCCATCCCAACTGACACAAACCTGTGTACCTACAAAAGAGAGACAAAATCTACACAGGCAAGTTGTCTGGGCAATCTGAATAATTCAGGCAGAAGATAACAGAATAAATCTTAAGATGCTCAGTCTTAGGAAGAATAAGCTTTGGGTGAATTTACACAAAAGCCCAATCTTTTGATTAAAAACTCTCAAATTTGATATGCCAAAGGTACAGTTTAATTGAGTAAGGGAGGAAATAGTCTTAGGACCCAGACCACCTGGGTTGATGTAGTAAATTGATGTAGTAAGTTACTTGCATGATTTTCGTGAAGAGTCTCAAATTGAGAAGCACCAGAATTTAGACATGGAAACAGTGTTCATTAGAAATTATATTAGTTACAAGATTAGGGGATTTACAGTTCCTAGGAAAAACATGATTCTTCTATTCCAGGAAAGATTTAAGCACCTGAGAGTTTTAATAGTAAAAACAAATTAAAATAGAAACAAGATAGTATCTCACTTATACTTCCAACATCTCATCAGCAATCCACTACTAAATTATATGTATCCTAAATCACTGTAATTTTGTAAATTAATATGATTTACCTACAACCTTGATTTCCTCAACCATAAGAAAATTACTAAAATTATTTTTAGTAATACAATTCTGTGATTCTAAGTTACTTAATTTTCCAATCTTCCCATTCCTATTTTCCAAAAGTGAGAGCTGGAAAACTATTGGCCATGGCTAAATGTGGCTCATAATCTGCTTTTATAAGTAAAGTTTTGTTAAAACAAAGCCAATGCCTACTATGTGGAAAATTTTTTTTTTTCATATTAAGACTGTATTTGAGTCATTGTGCTGTATGGCAGGTAAAGCTTAAAATATTTACCATGTGCCCCTTTCTAGAAAAGTTGACCAAACTCCTATTGAAAGGAAGAGGCTTCAACAAACGTATGACTTTCAAATGGAATTTTTCATAGATCCTCCACACACAGAGAGGATGTCTCAAGCTCCACCAAGATTGAACCCTCATATGGGTTAAAGGAAGAAGGCATATTGTAAGGGCCACAGGATTCATATTTCTAATTCTGATTCTAGTATTATATGTTCCACATTCTGGGGACCTGTGTGACATTTCATTTGAAGAAAATGTGCTGTTCATTTCTAGTGAGTTTCAAAAGCCACTAAACTAGATCATAGTTGAGGATCTCTTCATGTGCAAGTTTCTTTTTTTGGTGGGGGGATTGAGACAGGGTCTCACTATGCTGTTGAGACTGATCTGGAACTCACTATGTAGTCCAGGCTGGTCTTGAACTCACAGCGATCCTCCTGCCTCAGCTTCCCAAGTGCTGGGATGACAGGCGCGTGCCACCATGCCCGGCTCATGTGCAAGTTACTATGTAGTTGGTTACTGGTCTTGATCACAGCGATCCTCCTGCCTCAGCTTCCCAAGTGCTGGGATGACAGGCATGTGCCACCATGCCCGGCTCATGTGCAAGTTACTATGTAGTTGGTTGCTTATTTCTTGGGACAAAAATTCAAGTGAAATAATCCAAAGGAATAGAAGTTGATATAATGGTTACATTTGGAGGTAAGAGAGTGACTAGAAGGGAATAAGAGGAGGACTTTGGGATGCTGGCAATTAAATTTCTTAACTTCTGTGGTGAACACTCATCCCATTATATGCTGCTCTATTATACCTAAATTTCTTCAAAGAGTTAGCAAAATTTATAAGCTTCATCATGTCTCTAATGCACCTTTTGTCCTCTTTATTTTTTCCATTAAATTTATTGGTACATTTAAAGCAAACAATACAGTTACATTTATCATTAGGATCTTGTACCTTTACATGATAAATCTTGGTTCTTGTTTTTTCCCCATACCCCTGCACTCCCTTCACTCCCTTTACCCTTTTCTATTTACAAAGAATTTGTTTCCATTTTTCCATTTTTTCTTTTCCCTTATTCCCTTTCCCCTCCTCTTCCCACTTTCCCTTTAGCCATTTTCTTCCTATTTCATACTCCCAATTATACCATTTGAATCTTATTTACTCTTTTATTTTTTTACACCAGAGAAACTATTTGGTATATACTCAAGTGTGTCCTATTTATTTCACTTAAGAGCATAGCCTCAATATGCATTCATTTAGCTATAAATGTTTCTAGTTTCTCATTCTTCATGACTGAATAGTACTCTGTTTTATAGAAAAACCACATCTTCTTTATCCAGTCTCCAACTGACGGGAAAATGGTCTGTTTCCAAGTTTAAGCTATTATCAATTATGCCCCTGCAAACATGGGTGAAAATATATCACTGTGGTATGATTCTCTTAATTCTTTTGGAATGATACTCAAGAGAGGGATAGCTGGTTCAAATGCAACCTCTAATTCTAGTTCTTTGAGGTATCTCCGTATTGATTTTCACAATAGTTGCACCAGTCTGCACTCCCACCAACAATGAAGAAAGGCTCCTTTCTCCCCACTGCAGCACCAGCATTTCTTATTGGTTGATTTCTTGATAGCGGCCA